CTCTCTACTCTCTCTCTCTCTCTCTCTCTCTCTCTCTCTCTCTCTCTCTCTCTCTCTCTCTCTCTCTCTCTCTCTCTCTCTCTCTCTCTCTCTCTCTCTCTCTCTCTCTCTCTCTTCAAGGCAGCGAACCATGCAAGGCAAGATGAAAAAAAATGGATTGGTCGAACGGATGAATTACATATTATTTCTCGTAAATAGCTGGCAATGGTACCAAGGGGGGGGGGGAGAAGGAAGAAGGAAGGCCTACTGAATTTTGAGTTAATTTAGCATCGACCACGGAATTGACCGAGCATACGAGGCCGGCAAGTGCCATTTATTGCGAATCGATCGCACTTACTCGCACGCTTTGACGTCCTCGCGCGTTCGCTCGTCCGCGACAAACAATACCTCGCAACAGGGATTAATTATATGTTGCTAGTGGCAGCGTATAAATCACACAATTAATTTTGCTGCGGTTTGCTTCGTGTTTGTGGCAACGGCACGCTCATATGCTGAATGGATAACCGCAGCGTCGCGAAAGAGAATTGAACTACTCTCGAAGCGAAGCATCTTCAAAATTCCGGCTTACACCGAAAAGAAGAACAATGGATATCGATATCATCATAATTAACTGTATTTTTTTTTAGACATTAGATTCGGAAAGTGAATATCTCGATAAGGCAATTAAATTTTTTTTTTTCAAATACATAGAAAAGGCTCACTTTCAACGTTATCAATTAAATGTTAAACAAATTTTTAGTAAAAAAAGGAAGTAAAATATTAATGCATTAATATGTAACAGTTAATATTTATTATCGATTATATACAACGCAATGTTAATCCGATTTCATTTCGCGCTGTAATATGAAAATTATCGGGTGATTAAAATAAGAAAGTTGCGATCGACATATATTAATGATATATTTTCCGCGAGAATTATCCGCGTTCAAAAATGCATTATGTAATCAATGTTAAAATGGGATAGTTACATTTTCGAATATTCAATTATGTCTTAATTAGTCACATTAGCTGTTAACTCACATCGTGTGACATCAGCGTAAAGTTATCGCCATGAGTGGATCTCTGTATTTTTCGATCATTTTACAGAACGCCAGGCACGGAATGAGACTCCAAATCGAGCGGCGATTAATTAGCCGCAGCTCGATTTAATTAGTAAGTAACCAACCCTATATCATAATATATATATATATATATATATATATATATATATATATTGTTAATTCCGTAACTGGAATTCGAGACATGTGCGTTGGTGATCCGTTACAATGTTGTATTTTGCAAGATATTTTCGATTGAAATTTATATGACGCGACAAGTCGTGACATCACATTTCGCGGATGTTTCTACTTTCAATTTTAAACCGATTGTATGCCAGTTCATTCGCACTGTAAAACGCGAAACATCAATTAGCCTAGAATGCGGGCTTGTAATAATTACGCGTATTATACAAGATCCTATTTTAACTTCCTTTCCGTAATATCTCGAAAACAATGTATTATCAAAAAAAAATGTTTCAAATAAAAGTTGTAGGATTTCGAAAAGGCCATAATTGTGATATTGATTTATTTGCAAATGATGCCACTGTCGAGATTTTTTATATTCGCCATTTTTTTAAATGGAATTGTATATAAATTGTATTAAGTAATGGTATTAAATTGTATATTTTTTGTTACATAGTTTGATTCCCATAGTTATTCTGTATTCTAATTGTATTTTAATATTTTTATGTACAGAACCATGTGACAAATCAATTGGTGTAAGAAAGATATGTGCAATTTGCAAGTACATACTTTTTTTAAATAATTATTATATTATATTTTTTTATATCAATTTATTCATTTCATTATTCTATGCATAAAAATATTAAGATATAGATAAAAAATGAATAGTTTAGTATAATAAAAGATATTTATCTTTTATTATACATATATTAAAAAATGTCAGAATAAAGTATAAAATATTAAATTATTCATAAGCCATTGATTTTTTGACATTTGTACCTTAATACTTTTTTATCTAAAATAACTAGAGGAATCATATTGCGTAACAAAAAATATGTAATTCCGTTTAAAAAAATGGCGACAGTAAAAAATCTTAATCAGGCATCACCTTCGAATAAATCAATATCGTAATCATATGGCTCTTCGAAATTCTACAACTTTTAAGTGAAACATTTTTTTGATAATGCATTTATTTCAAGATATTACGGAGCGAAAGTTGAAATGGAACATCCTGTGTATTTATCATCGATGTGTCATCGCTGTGTCGCTATGGTAAATAACGCGTAAAGTTGACCACGCATCTTTGACCTTCGTTATGAAAGTTTCGTATTTTCTCAAGCGTTAGAGATTCATTAATTCGCATAATGCGTGAAATGTCACCGATCATGGCTCGAGCGATATTTATAATTTTATCCTGGTTCGCGAAATTATTCTTCTCTCACGCGTGTTATTTTTGCGCACGTCGCATCGGAAATACCATATAAAATGCGCGATCGTCATATTTAAGTAATTAATGTGCGTGCGATTATAATTACTCGCAAGTGAGTGTAACGAGTGAGTGGGACGAGAAAGCCTGAGAGGAAGAGAAAACCAGGAGACGCCGAGCGCCAGTGAAACAATTATGAAATGAATAATTTATTATTTGCGTACGATTTTTCACTGCAAAGTTGATTGTCTATTTCTTTTTATTTTAATTATTTATTAGAATAATTTCAATGATAATTGAAAAAAAATAAATCTTTTATCTATGACTATTAAAAAAATATATGTAAAATGTCTTTGTTAACGGTTAATAAAACATTTTTGTCTTTAGGCTTATAAAATCATATAAAATGAGACAAATAATTGCATTTAATTTCAACAATCGTTTGGGATTATTTCAGCTAAGAAAAAAAAACCTCAGAACTTTGAAAATTACAAATTGTCCTTTAAATCCTTTAAACTTTGCGAAAATAAAAAGTAGCGCGGCTTATATATGAAACTGTTGTAGAAAGTAAAACAGTTATTCTGCGATAAAACAATTTACTTTGCACGTTGTAGATGAGATTTTTAACTTTTGTAAAGAGTTTTGCCATTAATTCACCACAGGAATCGTTAAAGACATATCCTCGAGTCGGTTTATTTCGTACAGATTACCTCGACAAGATTCCATTAAACTTCTTCCATTACAAAAAGTTTTATGTTACTCTTTAAATAAATGTTTTATCCATTTATTATATTTGTTCGGGGATCGCTCGGCCACGTGATAGTCATCGCGTAATGGAACAATGGATCTTTACGCGTTTCCACCTGCGTTTATCTCGAAAATTAGAATTAGCAGTCCCGCTGTATCCGGATCAGAGATCAACTGGCACGGTCATGTGCGTGGAAAGGCAACAACAGGGGGTACACACATCGTTTTACTCTACATGCTCGAGCTACGCATAATATAGCGATTCAACAATGTAACGTACACACACGCATAAATTCATCGAACTCGCCCGGCAATATTAATATTGTTACCCGTTCACGAAATACGGAAGGGTAACGGTTGATATTCTCCGCACCTACCCCTATACGCGCCGTTCTCTCGCTCCGGCAACCCCCCTCATCGCGTCCGCGGTCGTACCGGCAATTCTCGCTCCATATTTCTCTCCTCCCTCCCCCCCCCCCCGCCAGAAGTGCGTCGCGATTTATTGGCCGGAGCGCGCTGTCCGTATTTCCCGCCGGTAAAATCTAATTGGAAAACCATTGCGTGCATGAGGGCGCCCCGCTGGCCGAACGCTCGCGCCGCGCGTATCGCGGAAATCGTGTGGCTGCATAAAGGATTTAACTGTTCTTTCATTTTCTATTTTAAATTTGGCCCCGAAAACATTGATTTTTTTTTACCATACAGTTCCCTTTATCCGTGACATTCACGCGTGTTTTTGCATAACTCGGTTAATCAGTAACAATGGTCCGCTCCTCCAATTCCTTCACGTTGCCTTTCTGTCGATGCGCTGAAACGTGCGCGATCACATAAATTTTCCGATTAATTAAAATCTGACCTTTTAATTAAAACTGCATTAAAAATAATTGATTGCTGGTTGTTGAATTGTTGAACAGGTTTGGTTTGAAAATATATTATTATTTTATTATTAT